CCTATTTGTGACACATTTTCATACATTCAGATAGTTTTTTCACAGATTATTACAGAGGCCAATTAATATAACTCGTAATCACCCTTGGAAATTCAATTTTTTAGTCACTTCTTACAGTGACACTCACATCTTTTGCTTGTCTCCATGCTCTCTCCATGCATTAACACTCATATTCTACAGAACACTTCTGATATTACACAACCTCAGTCTAAACTCACTAATCTTCATCCTCGCCATTACAATGCAATTATGCTTGACTATTTTGCAGTATTTTGATGATGTAGACACAACACAAACTAATTTTTACACTTGTACTATATTTGGCAAACTGAATGTACACGCATACACATACACACACACACACACACAAACAGCTATTCATAATTGCGATTGTACAGGTGAGTGAGTGAATCTGCTCAGAAGAGACTCTTCGCTGAACTGTTTGTTCTAATTTCCAATCGCGATATGGGCGATCTCGTAGGTTCACCTTTATATCTGTTCATATATTTGACCATCGAATCGATAATATGTAACTCGACATAGATCTGTGCATTCCATCCGGCTTGAGCATCATATTTTGATTGTCGGAAGAAGTATTCGTCACTGCCGAATAACTGTTGCATGGTTGGTCACACCGGCCTTCCTCGTCCGATTGAAGTGTATGGAGAGTGGTGTGATGTTGGAAGACACAACAATTTTCCAATCGTCTATTCGAGTGTTTCCGATTCCCTCTAGAAACTGAGTTAGCAATTAGTTAGACTGATCACAGGATTAAGCTAGATATTATGCTCTGCTCACGAGCTCCTTGGATAAGTTGTGTGTTGTGGTTTCTGGGAGTTGGAGGCTGTGTGGCCGATTCTCCTCTTAGTATTGATGAGCTACTACTGCTGTTGGAGAAGGCTGCCATCATTTTCTTTCATGACGATTGTGCTGTTGTCAACGTGTGCACATCGAACAGTAGATAGTGTGCCACTCAGAGCAATACAACAATTTTGACCAACATGATTGTGATGATCAGTATGAGTGTGATCGGAATCTCCAATGGCAGCTTATATTTACGTGTGTGTGAAAGTCAACGCGTTGCTCGATAGAGACTAAGGGTGTTGTGAGATGTTGAGAGTTGACGTCATTCTGTACGAAGTCATGCATGATTTCTACTTCCGATGTGTATTTGAACACGTATCCTGAATATGAAATAATTGACTCAAATCAAGCTATGACTTCCATATTTTCATCTCACAATCTCGTCTTCTTTTTATTATGGAGCATTTCACTGTCCAGCACGGAAGTCATTTTCGAGAATGATAGTCCGTAATTCGGACTGAAATTCAAATGTGCAGTAGTTCAAGTGTCCCCGCCACGCATAACTCCACACGAACTTGCTTAATCACAATGAAAATTGCATCAGTAACTTCTTGCTGAATTCCCCTGTCTTGTGTAAGTAAGACATTTCACAGAATCATATAAATTGGAGGACCAACGTTCTCATCATACTCTATGCAGGGTTGGATAAAGGGAAGCTGTAGGCCAGTTGAACTGGTCGTCAAAGAGATTCGTTAAAACGCTTCAGCTGTCTTCCATGAGAATGTGCCAAGAAAGTGAAGGAGAGCTATGAATTGACACCGTCAAAACTCAGTGAAGTAACACAACTGAAATAAAAATGAATTTATCACTATGAAACGATTGACAATCGTTTCTGATTGAGTTCACAAGACGAGTTTACACAGTTTATGCACTATGTAGCTGACTGGTAATAGTTTTTTTATTCGACTATCTTGACTGATTTTGTGAAGCAGTCGTTTATGGCTTGAATATCTTGTCGAATAGCTGGAAATTATAAGCGTGACCATAACATGATAGTGGTCACTGTTGACAAGTTACAATGCTAGCTGTTACCAACAGTACAACGAAATGATAAACGTCTTGAACTGAAGAAATTCTAGAAAACTCCTATTTCAGTGTTGTACTGCATTTGATAAATTTATATCTGCAGATTTCGATTACTGTGAAACTCCGTACTGAAAAGCACCGGCTGACCTGTTCACTAAACAATGAACACCACTTCCGGAGATCATACTTCCGTGATTGGAGATCGTGTATGACCGAATCTAATGTTCCCTACAAGCTGTTAAATAGTCATGTTTACATGTCAATATTCTAATCCTTATTCTCCCCAGATTCTCCTTTCAGCATTTTGTGCGGTGCTTGTCTTGGTTCTCTTAATGGACCATTTTATTCATTCAAGTAAATAATACAAATAACATCTACATTGATCAAATGTACCGGCATTTCTTCCTAATATCTCATCAATAATTTGCAATGATGCATTACCGGAGGCGACAATGGAGGCGGATCCATTTGCATTGGATTGTGTGAACTTTGCAGTATCAAATCCGTTGACCATGGTGTTTGCACGTCAATTCTACAAAATATTTGCTGAAAGAGTTGTGGGAGATGTTCTGTTTGCATGACAATAAGCCCCATCAATATGAATTCTAGTCATCATCGCTCTGGTGGAATAAAACCACACTGCTCTTCAGCACCTCAATGACTTCCACGGAATACGGAAAACCTATCTCTTTGGGTGTGTGGCTCACACAATTCCTTTCACAATCCTCCTATTTGACATGTTCATTGAACAGGACAGGTAATTTGTGTACATGTACATGGTAGGTTAAAGACTACAAATCTGCAATGTAGTAGGGAGTCGGGAGCACTTGATTTCCGTCAAGATGTCTCAGGTTGAGAGAAATTTCAAAATGCCATGAAAAGGAGAATTATCAATCTAATTCCATGCAATGTCTGTTGGAGATGAATCGTAGCATATTCACCTAAGGCAAGATAGCTTATGGGTAGAGCAGTTTCAACGAAGACACGAACAGTTCACATAATTGAAACTGTAAGCCACTAATTATATTGACGAAAATAAGACATCTTTATGAAGTGAGTGCATCCCATCTGGTCAGTTAGGCGTCCTGATAGGAAAATCAGCTATGAATCACCCATACGTGCAGGACACCTCACTGCGTTAAGCAGTTCTATCGGTAGGACACGATTTCAGAAACAGATTATCTTACATTTATCACGACAAAACGAGGAAAATTAATGAACAATTTTGCTAAAGTCTCACTGAACACCTTCATATTAATAATCACATTTCACAATTGACAACAATAATATTCTTAGACAAAAACAGAAATCCGAGTAAAATTATCAAGGGAGAAATAATGGAAGAAAGGAAATCAAATTCTCATTGAATTTTCAATTTGAAACTTCAGGTGTGATTGCAAATCCACACAACTGACAAGATGAAGATAATTACACTGTGTTGATGATAACACACGCCAGATACAAAGAAAGACAATACGGTTAATAGACTGTTCAACAAAGACAAACAACACCTCTACTGGATTTATGAAGGTGAAAGGAATAATTCGAATTTTCCCAGCCTCCAACTTACAAGTCTCAATCATTCGAACATGTGTGCGTTGAACATCACTATCCAACTGATTGTAACTTTCGAATATCACAATAATCTATCAGCATATGCAGCAGTTCACATTATACAGAATAGGCTGAATACTTTGACAAACTTGATTTCCGTTATTCAGATAAACGACATTGATGCATGGAGATGTGGACGTTTATATACACTTGTGAAGTTCTCAAAATTGATTCTGAGTGGTTCAAATTCATAGACTAGATCAATAGTTTATCAAGCCACCAATTATTTCACTCTTATAATCATTAAGTCAAATATAGTCAAAGTATCACAACTAGGCCGGGTCACAACCCATGACCCATAACTATTATTGTATGGCTAGTTTGATTTCACTGGTTATGTCTTTTCTAAATGAAATATTTTTATTATTAATATAAATAACATTCTCAGTTCTTGCTTCAAATATTTTTGACTTTATATCGTAAACGTGGACAAACTCCTCAGGTTAATTTTGTTTTGATTTTATTTATATTTTAAGTAAATCAGATGCAATATTGTGACAAATGCTGAGAATTCCATTCTGTATTATAAGTACTGTTTTTACAATAAAGCAGACTATTATTATTATCATCATTATTTTGCACTCAATTGTACTGTCAAAACAAATTTTCCGTGCTCGATTGAACAGTATTCCGACTAAGTTATTTTTATACTGGTGGTGGGTTGGGGAACGAAGCTCCTAAAGTGTCTATATACTTTCCTTTCCATAGAGATTTTCTATTTGTCCTGTCAATCCTTTTCACCATGTAGTATCATTTCCGTCGTGTTTTATTGTGAAGTCATAGACAATTCAATTGTCCACATATCTCAGATATTAGAATTCCGTGTGTTGTGTGAATATGTTGTGAGATAATTGCCAGCTTGTAGGCGTGACAAGAACGTGTTTGTAATGAGTTTTCCATTGCACCATCATTAACTTAATGGCTATCCAGTTGTAGTTAGATATCTTTAGTATGTAGAAGTAACAGTTATCCTAGTTTTGTTGTTAGGATTCTCCACTCGCATAATGGAGTATTTACCTAAGTGGTTGAAAATAAGACTGAAATTATCATATCAAAAGGTTCCGTAACAAATCACGTTATCAAATCGACTATGGATATGGTGTTATTGACACTATCATGTTATTCACTTTGGTGGGCAAACAAATCAAATAGGAAATTGTTTGCATTCGCGGAGGTTTGTGCAATTAAGGTTTATGCACATGGTCTTTGTGCATTATTTCTTCTAATGATGTCATGTAAGCTGAACTTACTCACATGTAGGGTGGTAACTTGTGTTTCTGACTATACTGTATGTATTAGACTGCTAACTCTTAGTAGTTTTTAATTTTTGCAATTGATAACCAACAAATGTCAGCATAGATTTATCCATCTATGAGTAGTTGGTTCTTTATTTTATAAGAAAAGCTCCTTTGAACTCGCTATTCTTGATATAAATTAACCAACAAAGGGGATCTAGCGCAAAGATGACATTATTATTATCCATTGTCGCTGTTTAGATGAGAAGACTTCATGAGCATGATCGTCGTCTACAGTGTGAAGTGTCACGAATGTTATCAGCTCATGAATGTCAACAAGCTGTACTGGAGCGTCGTATTGAAGCCGTAGCAGCAGCCGAATGTCGACTCAAGGAATTCCTGTTACGTCAGGAAAACGTGAAGCAGGAACGCAGTAAAGTTCCATCAGAAGTCAATAATCCTGAAGGTGAGGTAGCATCGTTGTGTTGTAACGACCAGTCGTAACCAGTTGGGAACAGGTTTGAGGTGTGAGGACAAACACTCACTTCGGATGACACTGGCTAGTGGTCGCACTATATTGCGAATTCGCAGAAGTTGGGATTCATTACTTGACCATTAAATCGGATCCCAGTAGCTGAATGGTTTACCAGCTCGTCTTGTAACCTGAAGGCCCTGGGTTCGAACTCCTGGCGGTAGGTGCGTACTGATGAACAGTTCCAAATTATGACGTAGGAAACAACTGTTCGTCACTCCCTGTTGGTTTCCCAATGGTTTTCTAACCTATGTCAACTCATGATGGAATCTTGTAACCAACCAAATCTGTGCAAAACCAACACTTGAATATCTTTGTTGTATGTTGTTTATGCTAAGATTGTTGAGGTGGCATTGCTGTTGTAGTGTTAGTGTATAGCGCCATGCCTTTGTGCTTGCTCTCTTGACTGCCATTTATGGTATCCAGCGGAACACATATTGTGACTGGAATAGTTTCAGTTTTTAGAGGAACTTATGCGGTTCTACGGGCCGAATCAAACTGGACACACAGCCGATGAGTTTGGTCCCAAAAAAGTGGGATGAGCCCTGGGGTTCAGACGACTTCTATCTAGCTAGCAAACACTACCTTTGGTTGATGTGAGTGTTGATATGCAGCTAGTCACTTCAATCAGTCAGTAGTATGTAGTAGTATGTATGTAGTATGTTGTGATTATGTGTTTTTTATTCATCACCTAGAAAGAGCACATATCAAATGAACAAAAATAGTAAAGTTGTTTTGATAAAGTGGGAGTCTTATTATTGAAATGATTTTTCACTGGATTATCTTCGGTGAAGTTGTTGCACACTGCCGAAAAGTGTCAAGCTATGTCAAAATAACTATCTGATGATCCTGGGAACTTCTTGAAATCTATCGAATGGGCTCTACAGATGATCTAAGGACTCAGTTTACAATATTTTTATCCCTTGCACTCCGAGTGCTGCACAGGTCTTCAAGCTTAGAGCTATGAAATTTTAGTATCGACGAGGTTGTTTTTGCAGAGTTGGTCTGCGAGTTTCATCCCCAACATTCCCTCCCTTCTGGGCTTTCTACCAGTTGACAGGCTTCAGTGAGGTCTTAAAGTGTACCAGTCGGGACTTCATCCCGGGTGACCTGTGTCGCTGACCAAGAGTCTACGATGGAGTCACTGACGCAGTAGCCAGGCGAGGTGGCCTATTAAGTCATTTGTAGTTTCTCCCTCCTGTCTGATAACCGGGTTTTATCATCATCAGCACTACTAAACATGAGATGTAACCTATTGTCCATTGAATATAATTCCGCTGGAAAGTATATTAAACCAGTTAACATGGGAAGTAGAACGCTAACATTTGCAGTCAAAGGGAGCTGGCCTTCTCACCGTACCTCTCACTTTAAGCGGCAGTGTCTCACAGCCATAAAGAAGCATAGAGTGGACTACACACACACACACAGATGCACACATACAGGTGTGTACAGCCACTCATTGATTGCCTGGCCACCTTTTCGCTTTTTCAGCCACATAAGTTGTATTCTTAACTGTTTCAATGTGATATGATTTATTCAGATGCGAGTTATTATTGATATTCTTACTTTTTCTACTGTTGTCATATTTAGTAAATTCGATTTTGTGACACGTGTTCGAAGCTGGGTTAAAATGGATTTGGATATGCATGTCAGTATGGCAACTGTAAGATATCACTTAACTATATATGTCCAAACCAAGTTCACTTTTAACGGTTTGAAAACATTCGGGTATTGGGTATATGATATTCATTATAATAAAGGTTTTTTTGTATTTCCCAATGAATGAAAAACAAAACGATATTGTTTTCACTGACGTTTCGCTATTTAATGCTAATAGCTTTCTCAAAGTATTATTAAACCGGAATTTACAAAATCTCAGCATATATATATATATAACAAAGAGTTAAGGGGTGAGAAAATAGACAAGTTAGGTCAACTTAAAAGGACATATTGAAAGTCGAAATAATAATGAAGATCACTAAACCAAATATCAAAGGTAATAGTACATCTGTTATAATAGCAAAACAAGGTTTACTAACTTGATCATCGTTCGTTAGTCTGGGGTCATTTTTAGTTGTCAAGTAATGTGATCTTCATTATTATTTCGACTTTCAATATGTCCTTTTAAGTTGACCTATGCTGAGATTTTGTAAATTCCGGTTTAATAATACTTTGAGAAAGCTATTAGCATTAAATAGCGAAACGTCAGTAAAAACAATATCGTTTTGGGAAATACAAAAAGCCTTTATTCTAATGAATATCACTTAACTAATTTAATGGATTCACGTAAAATGCTTTGCGATCAACTACGTGCTATTGAAAGCAAAATAGAAGGTTGTCAACAAAATGATGAACCATACGATATGTATGTTAATGAAATGAACAGTCTAACAGAGACAATTCAATCACAAACACAACAGATAAGTGATGCTGGTGTACGATCATCAACTGATGCAGGAGGTTGTTGTGGTGTCGCTGCATCAGATCCTGATTGTCAGATATTATCGTGTCGTTTAGTACAATAACATAATATTCAAGAAGCAGGCATAGCTTTGAAATATTTATTTGAAAAAAGTAAATCTTTGATTGTTAGTTTTGTATGCAAAAAATGTTTATTGTCTTTAGTCGTTGTGTAACACCAGAAGACAAGGACCAGGCAACAGATCGTTTATTAAGGTAATCAACACGTATTTATATATTTTCACGTACATTATTATAGATTATTTAAGCAAACAAATACAGTCTTCTAATTGGTTGTTTCTCACTGAAAGTTAATCTTTCATCTCTTAGTGGCTGTTTCTTGAATATCACATCATCTATATGCTAACTGTATCCGCCTATGCAAAGTCTGGTTTGGTTGGTTGTTGAATAAGTCTTTGTTCATATTTTCTCACGACCAATATTGGGGACGTAAAATTTGACGTAAATTACTGTCTGCCAATTTGGCTAGCAGCCTGCTCTCTCCACACTCGTCCCCCGTCAAATAGTTTGGACTGAAGTCGGCTTGATCTTCTTGGTGCTGGCGTCATCGTTGGCTTGTCTCGCTCTATCCATTTCTGGAGCTCGCTGATGTTCACCCGCTTCTCTGTGTTTGCATTTTCGGTGGTATATACTTGACCCGTCTCTCAGTGACCGTGTATGGTCCTTCCCGCTTCGGTAGCAGTGTTCGCGACCCTGGTGCGTATCCGCCGGTGTTTCGCCTATCTCTACATTTGACTTGATCTCTGATCTCGAATCCGGGGTACTTCCCCTTTCGCCTCAGTTCGGTTTTCACAGTGTCCACTTTCTGTTTTCGTTTTACGTTGTTGATGGCTTTTCTCCTCTCCGCCATCTCGTCATACTCCAATGCTGATGGAGGGGCCAGGTCTTGTTAAGTATCGGTATCCGTGGTTTCCTCCCAGCTAACAGCCTTTGTGGCCAGCCACTCTTTCAGGGTGTGGTTATTTCTCTCGGTCAGCCCGTTCGTTTGTGGGTGATATGGCGTTGTTCTAATTTTCATGATACCTAACTGTTGCAACCGACCTTCAAACTCTTCGCCTTCAAACCAAGGACCTTGGTCTGTCAATATTGCTTTTGGCACACCGTGATTTGCAACGATATGTAGAACCACTGCTTCTGTGACCGTTTTTGTGCGTTGATCAGGGATCGCGACTGCGTCTAGCCATCGTGTGGCATGTTATGTCATGACCAGAAGATATTGATTGCCATTGGACGTTAGTCGAAAAGGTACCATTAGGTCTACGGAATCGACTGCGGTGACGGTCGTATGTACTGATCACCTTTCATCAGCTGACATTGCGTACACGCTGTTACGTACTTCTCGACGTCTTTTCTCATACCTGACCAGTACGTGGTTTGTCGCAGGAGATCGTCCGTTCGAGCAACACCTGTTAGAGCTAATTGGTGACATTCCTGTATCATCCATCTCTTGGCGCAGGCATTGGGGTATTACTGCTAAGCAGCTTCCTTCATCCTCCCGCCACGTCAACATTCTGCAGGCATTGAAGCCTAGCCGATTCACCTTTTTTCGTTAGTTAGCTCTTGTATGACAGCTTTCAAGGTGTCGTCTGATCTTTGAATCTGGACAAGTCTTGCTGGGTTTTGCTCTTAGGCATTTTTACACCATATGCTATTTCAGGTAACTCTACCTCTTCTATTGTAGATAAAATATCTGGTAACACATTCGCTTTTCCTGGAACATGAGAGATCGTGAAATCATACTGTTGCAGGCGCAGCATCCACCATGACAACTTCCCACGCGGGTCTCTGGCGGTCCTCAGCCACTGCGACGGCTTATGATCAGTCTCGACGCGGAAGCATTGACCCAGTAAGTAGGGTTTCCATTTGTCTAGCACCGACACAATTGCCAAACACTCCTTCTAAATTGTTGAATAATTCTGTTCCTTGTGCGTTAAAACACGGCTGGTGTACTCGACGACTCCGTCACTCTGTCTGAGTACTGCGCCTATTCCGTAATCGCAGCATCGGTAGATACTATGAACGGCTATCCCGGCACCGGTAGTCGCAGCGTCATTCTCTGGTGATCCATCAGCTGTTTGATCCGGTCAAATTTATGAAAATTACAATTGGGAATTAGAATGCCCTATTAAAGAGGGGGGGCGGATGAAACAAACAAATTAGCATCATAATAACTAAGAAGATTGACATTATGCAATTAGGGGTTAGAAATGTAGAAATAACAAAATACAAAGAGAATTTTCTTCGCTGCAAGTGTCTTCTTAATAAATCCTATGACCCAATGTGTATATTCCGTGATTTGAAGAGATGCAAAGACCGTTCGACGGTAAATGGACTGAACAAGTTTCTACGTTTGTCCCTCAAGTTTGCTGAGGCGAACGCATTAATTTTCTTCTTGAAGAATTGTCTCGAAAATATGAATATCCCAAAGTATTTTGGAAGCACCTCAGACGAAATCACATATCCCCTAACTCACGTACATGGAAACGACACACTCTGAATCCCATCGATGCAACGCAATCAAGACTATCTGAAGTAAAGCAGAATATCTCAAAAAGCTCCCACGTTCTCTATGAGTTATCTGGAGACGAGAGAACATCATTAGAAAACTACTCTAATAAGGTAACAAAGAAAAGAACAGATGATGTTATAATGAAACTAAACCAAAGACTAAATTCCGTTGCAAAAGAAACTGTCTCTCGTACCTGTCCAGAAAAATACGTGTACAATTATTCTGATGTTCCACTATCTCCAATTCAAATGCAAATTTTAGCACTTGGACCTAGGTTTTGTAATGCAACGTCAAAAGTGAATGAACTGAACACGAAAGTCCAATTCGAGAGTTTAATCGACCAGACGAAAGATATGGTCCCAATCTCATATGAGAATGCCAACCTTTTCAAACCAACCGTTTTAAATTGCTGTCTTGATTACATCAACAGAAAAACCAGTCTTCGTAACGTACTTTCCAAAGAACATCGAAAGCAGCCGAAAGAACTGAATAATACTGAAAACTTGATCATCACTCGACCAGATAAAGGCTCCGGAATCGTCTTGATGCACAAATCAGACTACCTAAGCAAACTCTCGGTGATACTATCTGATGATAAAAAGTTTCAGAAACAGTCTCCACAGAAAGATCCCACCGAACAGACGGAGCTCCAGCTAACAAAGATAGTGAAGAAAATGAAAGACTAATCCATTATCAGTTCAAAACTATACGAACAACTGCGCCCATCTGGTTCTACAACGCCGCGCATGTACGGCTTACCTGAAGTGCACAAACAAGACGTCCCACTCCGCCCAATACTAGATATGATAGATTTCCCATATCATACAATCGCGAAATGGCTGGTGGAGATTCTCGAGCCGGTGAAAGAGAAGCTGTCAAGACACAACCTCCGTGACACATTTGACTTTGTTGATTTAATAAGGAATGTCAGTGTGGCAGAAAACAACATGGTCTCCTTGGATGTCGTCTCTCTCTTCACCAACGTTCCATTTACAGAAACCGTATGTTTCTTTTGTGACTACATTCAATCCAATATCATCGATCTCGGTATACCGATACATTACCTGAAAGAACTCTTACTACGATGCACCTTCAACGTATACTTTAGTTTCAACAAGGAAATATACAGGCAAGTAGATGGAGTAGCAATGGTTTCTCCCCCTAGGACCCCTCCTAGCCAACTGCTTTATGGCTAGCTTAGAAAACAACCCCTTATCAAAAACTATCAACGACCTCCATCTCCCCAGAAGAGATACATCGATGATAATTTCATTCTTTGTGATGAGAATTTTCACTTAAAATACCTACTTCAAATCTTCAATAACGCCCATTCAAACATCGACTTTACACTTGAGACTGAATCCGATGGAATGTGTCCACTTCCTCGACGTCCATCTGACAAGAAACACCAACAACTCTCTGAAAAGATCCACATACAAAAACTCTACATGGAATGGATAATTCATCAACTTTCAAAGCTTCGTGCCCCTGAGCAGAAAGAGGGACCTGATATACGCCCTTTCCTCGAGGATTCGGAAGTGGCTGAGGAAGAATTGCGTAATCTTCGAAAAACCGTGATGGAAAACGGTTTCCCACCCAGGTTAATAGACAAGAATCTCAAATCTAGGAAGACTTCCGAACAAGTCCAATCCGTTCCAAAGAAAGTGCTTCTGCTTAATATAGAATTCAGAGGTGATATTGAGGCAGAAATCCTTCATAAACGCCTCTCCAAATCGCTGAGGAAAACATACTTCGCCGCTAGCCTACGACTGACGTTTTCCTGCAATAAACTGTTCAGCCAGAACGCGAAAGACAAGCTGTCGCATTAGGCCACCTCAACGTGCTTATACCAGTTTACTTGCTTTGGTGGAGCTGAGTACATTGGCCGTGCCATGCGCCGACTTGAAAAACGCGCTCGTGAACACTACCCAGCCTGGTCAGTTAAAGGAGGCCAAAAGCGTGTGTACAGTTCAGTGACAGAACATCTGGTCAATTCGGGGAATTCAGCGCCTTTCGAAAAATCCTTCAAAGTAATATATAAGATTCAATCAAACCTATCAAAGGGAGTGAAATTAAGACACCTGGGCACAGCCGAGGCGCTAGCTATCCAAAAGCTCAAACCCACGCTTTGTATCCGAAAGAAATACGTCCAAACCCTGTCCCTGCCATGGTCATCATAAACAGGTAACATTTTAGTAATGACCATCCCATAGGCTTTCTTATCTGAACTTCCTGTTTATTCATGTTATTTTTCCAAGTTTTTCTTAATCCCTGTTTACAGTATCATATTTTCATAACCCAACTTCGTGTTTATTTTAACATTTTACTATTTCTACATATTTAATCCCAATAGAATAAAGAATTATACACCAAATTAGTTTCTTCGATACAAGCATCCTGTCTATTTTGTTATTTGTACATTTCTAACCCCAATTGCACAATTTCAATTTCCTTAGTAATTGTGAGGCTAATTGGTTTGAGGTTTATCCGTGCGTCGGTAGCACAGTGGTTAGGACTCTCGCCGACCATGCACATGGTCCGAGGTTCGATCCTCTGCCGACGCACACCTGATATCTTCTTCACCTCACTAAGCTAGAAATAATGCTGGTAAAGAGGAAAGGTTGGGCGTGAGTCTAGAAACCCCATCCTGTAAAATTAAACACCACTGCTTCAGAAACTTCAAGCCACTAGCTTGAAGTCCTATGTTCTACTGGGGAAGTGAGGGAAAGAACACTATCCGTCCCATACATAATTAAGGCATTATAATTTCTAATTGTAATTTTATTCATTTGACCAATGACGGGAAATCATTCTCGAACTTTCCCGCACATGTATAATAAATACACGAAAGTAGAGCCAGGATGATGACATCCTCGAAAAGATATGGTTCTTCAAAGCAAAAGTATTATTAATAACACGCACAGGTCGGTTAGAATATTTCAGCTGAATACAAAAAGTCAAGTGTACAATGTGAAGCGAAGCATAATTGGTCATATTAGATGACTGACTGTATGCGTCATCATCTTGTTCTATATTTTCACCCCAGTGGTCGAATTTCTAAAGGATACGTCAGTGATATTCCCAGGAGTATTGAATATACGAAACGTCTATTTACATAATGGATACATCAATTGAACAACATCCAGACGGAGAAATACGAACCTGATGAATGAAAACTCATTGTATGCAACAGCGAACATCACACGTGAAGTAATCCAACTACTCTGGTTGGCTATCTCTGCACCGACGTCCATGTCTTCCTCATAGCTATCTAACCAACCAACCAACATATTGTGCAAGTCAAGTCAATGACTGATTGTGATGATGTGTAGTTTACGGCGTCGTTGTTGTAAATACATCGGGTCGGCTCGAGACAGTGAATGTCATTACTTAATTGTGGTGAACTTTAAGTACGCAGAAGTCAACATATGTGTCATTGTCACACACACACACACACACACAGAGTGTATACAGCAATGGACTAAACGTAGGTTAGGAAATCAAAACAAGTGATTCAGCGAAGAGACTCTTTTCAACGAATTCATCATCAAGCTGTACAACCGTATATGTATATATACGGTTTTAATAATAATATATTCTCATTTTGTACATGAGGGACGCCAGTTTACAGGCATCATCAATATGATAAATTACATATACGATTAGCAATCATACTTTATAATAATGTTTAAATAAAATACATATTTTTTCCTACCTGTGTAGGACACACCGAATGTACAGGCATGGATACGCGTTGTTTAGATTTGATAAATTTGGTTTATGGTTAAATTACATGGTTGCTGACGTTTTTGTCTTTGGTTTGTGGGAACAATATGATAACCAGTCATTCAATGGAGCACATCATGAAATATAGGAATATTGACTTCGCATTAACAAGAAAAACCTCGCCAGATACTAGCTTGCTAGGCTACTAGCTTACTAGTTTTCTCGCCGGTCCCAGGCCCGGGTAAATAGGGAGGGTTGGGGCGTGGTGCTAGCAACTACACCCCTGTAAAACAACCAAATCGCTACAGAAACTTCAACGAATAAATATTTTAAAAATTCTAAAAACATAAGCAATAGCCTTACTTTTCGCTGGAATCCGGGAAGTGAAATGACGCAGGCTGGTGAAAGCTAGCCTTCGGGAAGCCAGTCAGCCGATGTGCCTTCTTTCGATGAAAGCAAAAGTAAGGATGGGTACCTGGAATGTTCGTACAATGTACGAAGCCAGCTGGAAAGGCTGCCCAGATAGCCGCTGAAATGAGAAGGTACAGAATAGAAGTGTTGGGAATCTGCGAGAGCAGATGGAAGGGAACTGGAAGGTGCCAACTACCT